TCCAGCGGCCCGCCTGAGTTAGGGCCCAAATGAATACACAGAAACTTGTATTAGTTTCAAAGCTGCTTGGCCAATGACTAGGATTCTCATCTGTTAGCTCAGTCTCAATTATCATAAACTTATATATTTTATAAGACTTACCTTATCGGACGCCTTATTGGCGTCCCTCCTTGCCGGTGGATCACATTGTACCACTGGAGCAGGAGCAGAGGGAAAAAGAGCGCCCTTCCTGTTTCTCCTTCGCTTAAATATGAGTCTCTTTGCTATGTCACTTCCTGTATGGATCAGCACTTCTCTACTACATTTCCCAGAATCCTGTTTGACTCCTAGTCCTGTCTAACTTGCTGTCTCATTGGCCAAACAGTATTTTATTTAACAATCAATAAGATAAACATACACAGTAGTACATTCCCCATCAAGTCCTTATAATTACATCCACACAATATTTATCCTTTTGTGATTGGTTTGTTTTACTTAGCATAATGTCCTCAAGGTTCAGCCATGGTGCAGCAGAAATCAGAATGAGACCTTTTGGGGCAGGGTCTTACTGTGTGCTCAGGATGGTCTGAAGCTTGTCATCTTCTGTGCCAACCTTCTGAGTGCTGGATTACAGGTGTGCATCTCCACACCTGGCTTCCATGTCTTTTTAACTTAATGTGGTTCTTTTGTGTGGATGTTCCATATTTGTTTCTGTTCTGCCCATGTAGTGGACATCTGGGTTTCTACTTTCTGGCAATTGTGACAAATGCCACTGTCTTAGTTAGCGTTGCTGCTGCTGTGATAAAACATCATCACCAAAAGCAAGACGGGGAGGAACGGATCTATTTGGCTTTTGCTTCCACATCACAGTTCATCATTAAAGTATCATGGGGCTGGAATTCAAGTATGGCAGGAACCTGGAGGCAGGAGCTGATGCAGAAGCCATGGGGGGGGGTGCTACTTACTGGCATTCTGTCTATGGCTTCCTCAGCCTTTTTTTTTTTTTTTTCTAATAGAAGCCAGGACCACCAGCCCAGGGATGGCATCACCCACAATGGGCCAGGCCCTCTCTCATCAGTCACTAATTAAGAAAATGCCCTACAGGTTTGTCTACAGCCTGATCTTATGGAGGCACTTTCTCAATTGTCATTCCCTTTTCTCAGATGACTCAAACCTATGTGAAGTTGACATAAAAGTAGGCACCATGACCACCTTGAACACTGATAAGCTAGTTTATGTATAGAAAATGCCTTCATTTCCTTTGGGTGCATCATTAAGAGTAGGTTTTCAGAATTACACATGGCTTTTTTCTTTAGTGTATTTATTTCTATTTTGAGTCTTAAAGAGATTATTAGGTCAAAGAATAAGAGCCTTTTATGGCCAGAAAGATTTTTATGGATTAATTTTAAAAAACAAAACCCCACCTTCTCTTCTGGCATATCCTTTGATACCTGTTGCCCAGATTGTTTTTTTAGAGTTGTGAAATTCATGTTACCTTAACAAAACATAAAATGGTTAGGTGTGACTTTCCAGACAGTGGACAGTATTCTGTTCAAGATACATGACAATTTCAATGTAAATGTTTAATTTCACTGCTTTGGCTTCGGTGTTTTTTCTTTTCTTTTTGTTTGTTTGTTTTGTTTTTCAAGACAGGGTTTTTCTGTGGCTTTGGAGGCTGTCCTGGAACTAGCTCTTGTAGACCAGGCTGGTCTTGAACTCACAGAGATCTGCCTGCCTCTGCCTCCCGAGTGCTGGGATTAAAGGTGTGTGCCACCACCACCTGGCTAGACTTCGATGTTCTTTATTACTGACTGATCTTCCTCTGTAGATGAGGCCTCTGAATGAATAGAATTTGAGCTAATTTCTTTTTCAGATGTGCTGCTTTGATGATGACACAGGTACCTTTGAGTGCTGCTGACGCTGTGATAGTGGCACCCAATTCTGAAGAGCAGCTCTTTGCAGGAGTTGGTTAAAACACCCTGGCACTAGTGAGCACAGAAGGCACGAGCCCCTGGTAACTTCTCTTGGCTTCCTCCTGGCTTGGAATTTCATAATGGTGTTTTGAGGCAGAAAGTAAACCTTCCTTTTCAGTTTTGTTCACAGTGATGCTCGTGGCCCTGGCTGCCTCATAATTTGGTTGGTCCCTGGCCAGCAGAGCACAGTTAAGGCTTCTTTGCCCAATCCCTAGGTAGGAGTCAGGGCAGCTACCTTGGTCTTCCACTTGGAGGTTACACTGAAAGCCTTGGAGACATCAAAGCCTTTTCCTCTTGAATTCCATCTTAACTCAAATCCAGTCCCTAAATATACATAAAGTGTGGTTCAAGGAGTTGGGCATGTAGCTCAGTGCCCTGGCTTCAATCACCAGTGAAACACACACACACACACACACACACACACACACACACACACAATTGTGGTTCATATTTATTGCACTATACTATATTCTTTGTTTCGTATTTGTATTACTTGTTTGCTTAGTGTACTCTGAGGAGGTATTCCGATTATGCCCACCTTTCAATGACTAAACTGAGTTGGCAAGTGTATGAAATGTGTGCCCTGTGTCACAGTGAGCCCAACTGCTTCCCTGTCTATCAGATTAAAAACCATGTCCTCAACCAGAGTGCTGCTCTAGCCTCTTCACTAAGCAGTTACTGTGACCTGTCCCTGCTTCTATACCTGTCCTGAAAGGAACAAAAGTATTCTCAAGAAACTTTTGAGACTTTTTATACCTCTCCCTTTGGCTGTCAGGAATATCAGGCTGGATAAAGAAAAGGCTTCCTTGTGCAACTAGAGGAAGAACTGGGCACATCTCTGATAACTTGTCAGACCACTTTGCAGAAAAGAAGCCAAGACACAATGGCAAGATCACCCGTGATAAGGACTGCTTAGCTGGATATACCTTCTGCTCTATTTAAACCTAAACTCACATTAGGACTGTGCAGAGGGACCTGAGGGGGTGTCACTGGACCTCTTTATCAGTCCCTCTTCCCAATGCGGCTACACTGAATAAATCTCTTTTCTCTGCTTTTCACTATTATTTATCTCTATAATTGGGATATTGAGAATTGATGGATGAGCCTGGCTTGATAGGGCTGCTAGGGCCCCCACTCTGACCCCTGACTCCAGTAACACTTCCTGCTTACAGTCTGAATGGTGCAGCCACCAAGCTGTTCCCAGAGTGGTTTGTCAGAGGCACTCCAATTGGAAGCCACAGGCTGCAGAGAGTGAAAGGACTCTTAGAAATTGGTCTTCACTCTGCCTCCCTGACAGACAGCTCTGCTCCCCATACCCGTCCTCCAAATTCCTGCTCTCCCACCTTTACATGCGCATCCTCTCCCTCTGTTGTCATGGCAAATCATTCCTCATCTTTTGGACTGCTTGTTTGCTTTTGTGCACACCCCATGCTAGCACTTGTCCCTCATGTCCTTGCAGTTTGCTTGCAAGTCTGTGGTCCGCTAACTCTCTGAGGGCAAAGGCTGCATCTTGCTATTCCCATCATTGCCTAACACGGTGCCTGGCAGGGAGAGGCCACTTAGTTTCATGTGTTTTGTTAGTTTGTTGTGTGGTGCTGGGCTGAGCCTGGGCCTTCTATATGTCAGGCAAGCACTCTACCACTGGGCTCTCCACTAGTCCTTCAGCTCATGGTTTGGACTTAAATTAGAAAGTCTCCAGGTGGCCTTTTGTATTTTCCTTCTCCAAGGAATAGCACTCCTGACTCCCCGGAACAGAGAGACTGTAATTAGGATATCTGGTGTCTTCTCTTAAATAACTGTGCTCACTGGCGGCACACGGATGAGGTATCTACGCCTGAGAGGCACTCCAAGGAAGGAGTTGGTAGCCAAGCAGTCTTCAAGGGAAAGAGGAGAAGTGGAAAGAAAAGATGTCTGGGATGTCCCCCAGTCCCACACCAAGCTATCTGCGAGGCTTAAGCCAGAGCTCTACCTGAGTACTGGGTCCCAGAGGATTTTTATTTTCTCAGTCAACAGGAAAATATTTGGTTAGGACAAGCCATCAACCTTCCTCCCAGCCTGCTGGCTTCTTCAGGGGCCCCTTCTCCTGGTGGTAGCTGGTAGTGGCCACAGCACGTTTCCATCCCAGCCCTTCCCTAGCTCCCTTCTGTACCCATTTGCTCCACACATGACATATTCTATTAAGTACAAAGAAGGGAGCACATCAGACCAGTGACTCTGCACCTGGAGAACATACCCCACATGCATTTTAAATCTGTGCGCTCTCCTTGAGGGAATTCCAGTTGAAAAAGGACTTGGGTCAGCAGCCTTGGGCCTGTGTGGCTAACAAGCTCCTATTTTCTGTGTTGTTGGGCTGGCCTGAAGGGCCTCTTTGTTTGGGGTAGGGGTGGATGTGATGCCCTAATGAGGCCCTCTGGAATCCTGGCTCACACACAGCAGCCTGCGGGATGGAACTCTTCAGGCAGGAAAGCAAGTTGGTGAGTTTGTGGGTTTGTCAGGCTTTAAAGAACACAGAACAGCATTAAAGGGTGAAAACTAACTGGAGTATTGTATTCTGAGTTGGATTCAGCACAAAAAGGAGATAGAGCAAAGCTTAAGGAACCTGAGTAGCTTCTGGAGTTTAGCTAATAGTACTATATTGTGTTCACTTTGAAGTTTTGACAGATGCACAGGGTTATATAACATGCTAACGTGGGAGGAAACTGAGATTGCAATTCGGGACTGTTGGTGCACCTTTGCAGTAAATCAAAAATTACTTCCAAATAGAGAGGCTATTAATAAAGAAGAAAGGACAAGGTCAGTCCAGCATGCCCTCTGCACTTCTTACACTTGGTCTTGAGCCCACACCTGCAGAATCAGGAAGGCTGCTGTAGGCCAAGGCTCCAGGCAGTCTGCTTCTTTGCTCCTGCTGTTCTTTGTTTGGGGACAGGTTAGGTTACAAGACCAGGTCCACCAGGAGGATGTAGGTCCTGTGGTTACCGGAAACCCCCACCTCCTGCTGTGCACCGTGGGGCTGGTGATTTCTTAGGCTTCATTTCCTTCTCTTGTTAGAAGCTGCAAACCTGACTGGAAAGGACAGAGGGAGTAAAACACCTAGCGTGTGTGGGAAAGCTGATGAGGGAACTGAGGATGAACCCAGTGGTCACATAGTTGCTCAGCATGGGTCATGTACCAGGTTCCATCCCTGTGGCCCAGACTGCAGTGTGCGCTTGGTAAGCAGCAATTTTCATCGTCTCTCCTGTTTTTCTGTGTGAAGAGATAAGTGTGCCTTCCCTGAAGATTTAGATCAGTAGCTTTGGGGGCAAGAGGCTGCCTGAGGCATCGGGGGAGGGGGTCTAGCTGAGGGACTGGCAACAACACAGTACCTCCTCTCCTACTCACTTCCCAGGGCCATGAGTACAGCTCTTTTTACTAGCTAGTTCTAAATCCTTTAGGGGTTTAAATATTTAGATTCATTTTTTAAAATGTGCTGTTGTTGCTCCTTCACCCTAAAGATGAAACAAGCCAAGTTGTGAGGCTTCTTCCTGCTAAGGGATCTCTTTATATGTCTTCTGTCATGAGCCCTTTCTGCTCAGAAAGCCAGAAATATGAGAGGGCTGAGGACATTTGGGAGCTCCGAGGCACTTGAATCTGGTGAGCTGTTTACCTGTAGGTGGCAGTGGTGACACATGAGTGCTGAAGGAGGTATAGAGGGACTGATGCTGGCAGGGAGAACCCCTTCCAGAAAAGTAACAATAATAACAGAAGTTTCAGCCCCTGGTATGGCCGTGGAGGAGGGGTTCTTGGTGGGGGAGGAGGTGGGGATCTGACAGGTGTTTTCTCTATAGTATTTACTTTCCCTTCAGACAACCACGTGAAAGAAATCTATTGTTACTGTATTTTACAGATGTGGAAAGGTGTTGTGACTACCCTGTGGTATCCCAGTCATGCAGAGAATCAAGACTACAGAGTCTGAGTTCACTGCTATCCAAGGATGCCACTGTGATGCACAAATGAAGTACATTTCTTCTTCCCTGCACTACCTAGGGCACGCTGCCCAGGGGCTGACTACCCAGGGGTCCTGCTACCTGGGGCCTCTGCAGAAGTTGCAGTCAACACTTTACTTTCAAGGGTCCTGATAGTACAAGCCCAGGCTCTTTTATGCAGGAGATGGGGTGGGATGGGAATTGTATGCGGCTCCTGTGTGAGGGTCATCTGGTGTCCCCCCCCTCCAAGGAGTTGCAACCTACAGGTTGAGAACCACTGCTCTAGGGGTTTAACTATTTAGATTCATTAAAAAAAAAGAAATGTGCTGTTGTTGCTCCACCTTAAGGAGGAACCAAGCCAAGTTTAGGGACTTATTTCTGCTAAGGGATCTCTCTGTGGAGTTGCCTGGATATGCTTAGGCAGCACATCAAGACTGTCTCAGAATTCCGGATGGATGAATCACACACATACATAGACACACACTGTTAAAAGAAAATAAAGAAAGGAACAGCCGATTTTTATTAGATGGAGGGGAAGACACTATAAAGATGTTAATGAGTCTGGTGGTGGTGGTGCATATCTTTAATCCCAGGACTCAGGAGGCAGAGAAAGGCAGGTCTCTGAATTCAAGGCCAGCCTGGTCTACAGAGCAAGTTCCAGTATAGCCAGAGCTACACAGAGTATTAATGTTGTCCAGTAAGATCTACAAAGGTGGTGAAATCGCTATTAAATGCAACTCACATTTTTTGTAAAAGTAGAAAAATAAAATTCCCATGAACTCAGAAGGAAATAACTCTGCAAATAGCTAAAACAACCTGGAAAAGACAAAGCTGGAAGATACACATTTCCTGATTTCAAAATTACTTTAAAACTAAAACAATCAAAATAGAGTAGTAGTTTTGACCTAAGGGCTGATATGTAGACCAATGGGGAAGTAAAGCAAGGGGCCCAGAAATAATCCCTCTCACATATGTCTATGTATTCTCAACAAGGATACCAAAATCATTTAGTGGGGGAAGAATCATGTTTTTTAATGATACTGGGGGAAAATAGAAACATACACACACTAATAAAGTTAGGTCTTTATTGTATACCATATACAGAAATTAACTCCAGATAGACCAAATTCCTAAAGAAAAGAATATATAAACTGTAAAAAAAAATATGTATGTTAAAAAAAAGAATATTTAAACTGAGTCAGGTGGTGGTGGCAGATGCCCTTAATCCTAGCACTTGGGAGGCAGAAGCAGGCCTCCCTGATCTCTGAGTTTGAGGCCAGCCTGGTCTACAGAGCTAGTTCCAGAGGACAGCCAGAGCTATATAGTGAGACCCTGTCTTGAAACAACAACAACAACAACAACAACAACAACAAAACACCTAAAACCCACCACCCCCAAGAGTATAAATTGTAAGCCTTAGGAGAAAACAGGAGAAAAATCATATTGATTTAACAAGCATTTCTTGGGTATGACACCAAAAATACAAGCAGCAAAAGAAAAAAATTAATGTGACTTCATCAAAATGAAAACTTCTTTGGTTGAGTGTGGTGCTGTACAGTTATAATCCTAGCACTCAGAGGTAGGAGTAAGGAGATCCTGAGTTCTAGGCCAGCCTATGCTATATAGTGAGATCATGTCTCAAAGAACAAAAACAAAACCTTTTATATATTAAGGAACATTTTCAAGATCATGAAAAGTCAACTTACAAAATTGGAGGAAATATTTTCAAGGAACATATCTAATAATGAATTAATGAATTAATATTTAGAAAATGTAAAGAAGCTCCAGAACTGAACCACAGAAAAAACCAAACTACCCCATTAAAAGAAATGGGCAAAGAACTTTAATAGACGCCTCTCCAGAGAAAATGCACAAATGGCTGTAACTATGTGTTTACATGAACAGATGTTCAACATCACAAATCACCAGGGAAATGCAAATGTAAACTCAGGATTCCACTTCACATTTTCTGGGATTACATGATTGATCTCAGCTCTGTTTCAGAGGCCAGGATATTTACTCTGTGTTGTCCAATCTGGTAACAAAACCCAAGTTTGAATGTGGCATTGTTCATCTTAGACAAATTCTGAAACTTCCCCATCCATCCTACCTCAGTTTATGAGAGAGGGCCCATCACCACCTTTTAAACAAAATTTTCCTTTAGTCCACATCTACTGTGATAGCTTTTTTGTTGTTGTTTGTTTGTTTTGTCAGCTTGACACAAACTAGAGTCATCTGAGGAGAGGGAACCCATAGGATCAGGCATTTTCTTGATTAATGATTGATGAGAAAGGGCCCAGTTCACTGTGAGTGGTTCTGGGTATAAAGCAGACTGAGCAAGCCTTGAGGAGCAAACTGAAAGCAGTGTCATTCCATGGCTTCGCTGCAGTTCATGCCTCTAGGTTCCTGCCTTGAGTTGCTGTCCTGATGTCCCCCAGTGATGGAGTGTGACCTGAAAGACGTAAACTGAAATAAACCTTTCCCTCCCCAAGTTGGTTTTGGTCACTGTGTTTATCACAGCAACAGAAATCAAACTAAGACATGTACTGGTACTCAAATGATGGATAAATGGCCTCTGTATAAATAGGAAATGGCATTGTTTTTTACATCATGACATTTTTTATATATATATAGTATGAGAATTTGCACATCTAAGTCAAAGCTATACGTATAAGCAGTGAAAGCACATTTGCAAGGATATATAGCAAATATACATCCTTGGTTCCTAAAACATTTGCTGTATTCACTAAAAAGAGTAATTATTTTAGTTATCACTTATTTTTTTCCCAAAAAGAATATCTTCTCTGGGCAGTGGTGGTGCATGCATCCTTTTAATCCCAGCTCTCAGGAGGCAGAGGCAGTGGATCTCCGTGCGTTCAAGGCCAGCCTAATCTACAGAGTTCCAGGAAAGCCAGGGCAACACAGAGAAACCCTGTCTTGGAAAAAAACAAAAACAAAAACCCGCCATCTTTTCACCCTCCTTTTTCATCATGCATGGAACCCATATGCCTTTCACTACCACTGTTCAGCCATTCAGAGGTAGTGAGAGTCTTCCTTCTCGTGAGTATAGAACGCATGTGAGCTTGAGGCAGTCTTAACCAGGGTCCATAGGAGGCACAAGTGGGGCAGGCACAGAGCAGGCATTAGCATTAACACCTTAGCATTAGTAAGATTAAGAGTCAGGCACCCTGTGGTGCCTGGCCTGCCCTGCTCTACCCATGCTATGTGTGTAGGAAAGAGAGGTCAAGGCCACGAAGCAGTCAAGGGCCTGCCTGTCAAGAACATCAGAGCCATGTAGGAAGAAGGCAGCTGGTAAAGACAGGTAGACTGGCACCAGAAAGAGTAGTACAAGGCCCTCTATCATTTTGAGCTAGAAGACAGCAAGGGCAGAGGCTCTGGAGAGGTGGAGGCCTTAGCCCCTGTGTAGTCCTAGGATAACAGGATAGTGCAGCCCAGTGTTCCCCAGAGGCAGGGCGATGTCAGTTCACAAAACCCCACCATGAAATGATCTGAGCACCCAGTCCCTGCTCTTGCTAAGGTGTCTCAGCACCCCACCTGAGGTCACACACAGAAGAGGCACATCTGTGGTTTTACCCTAGCAGCTGCCTCAACAGCAGGCTCATCCTGCGTCTGGGGATCTGACTGTGAGACTGCACTTTTAACCTTTCCAAGCCAGGAGAGAGGATATCTGGGCGGGACCACCTCAGCACTTCATAGAACTTGGGCTGCACACACCAAGGTCACCCTTTGGTAAAGCCACAAGGGATGCAGATTGGGAGGCTTTATAGAGGAAATACTAAATCAATGAAACATCATTTCTAAGTTGGGTTTAGCAGCAGAATCCATTAACCTTATATTCACCCTCTCCCTTCCTCTAATAATACCAGCAAGGGGTTCAAAGGCATGGCAACTTATTTTCAGGGTCAGCACGTTTATTTCAATTACTGGGGTTTTGAGTTTTGCAACGAAACGATACTCACTTTGATTATAAGGAACCAACCCCAAAAGAATACTTTATTCTTGCTTCTCCAGAAAGCCACGCCTGCTGAAGCCGCAAGGGAATCAAGGCTGACAAAGCAGCTCAATCAATTCTTATTTTTCTTTTCATAAAAGAATTTCCATCAAGTGGGAACAAAGTTGTGTCTGATTGATTCTGGGACTGAAGCCACTCAATGTGGCCTCCCTTATTTAGTCTGGTCTCCAAACCAGAGAACAAAGTTCATTTCCTTTGACACATAAATTGTCAAATCCTAAAATAAAACTTGATACTATGGGAGAAACCCAGTGCCCCAGGGAGCAATGGGCAAATCCTTCTTGCCAGTCATGAAATGGGATGCATAAAGACTAATACAGCAGTGACCATGGTTGCAAAATGTTGAGCTTCCCCGGGCTATGCTAATGGCCAGGAGCTGGAATAAACAGAATAAAGCAATCACATACACATTCCACCATATCATCCTAATATTGTTGCCATAGCATTTGCGCATTTGCTTCATTCAGAAAAGACTACCTTCGGCCTGGTGTTGAACCTGTGCCAGTATTCCCTCAAGTCCCGACCCTGACAGCAATGATCATACTCTTTGGAGCATGGTTTTCTTGCCTACCAACCCCTCCCATGCATCCAGTCCTAAGGCAGCCCTGCTGAGGCACTCACAGTGGGTTGGTTTCTTGGCTGCCATATCTACACTCGGATGCTATATATACAGACTTCAGAGGCGCCAGCACTAGAAGGCCAAAGAGTACTGGTTTAGCATTTTGCATTCAGCAACATTCTTTTGGTGAGTCTGGGGAAGAAAACAGCCAAATTATCTCCCCAGTCAGCAAGTGTGGGCAGTAGCCCAGAGTTATCAGAACAAAGAAATAGCATTCAGGGTACTCCAGGCCAATTTGCAGAAAGAAGAAAACTGGGCTTTGATGGGTAGGAAGTGCTTTGGGTAATAGGTGCAGTAATATGCGATGAACTTTCTGGATTAGTGTTACTGTCAGTGAGGTAGGAGTAGCCTCTGTGAAGCAGGGGCTCCACACAGCTGCTGTTGCCTCCTGCCTCAGCTTCCTGACATTCTTTGTGAATGTGAACTGTAGAAGTTCCATTTCCACTAAAGAGACAAGAGGACAAACTTTAACTTAGCCCTTTATGGGTTATCCTTTTCTACAGCCCTTGACTTTACCCTTCCCTTAAAAGGAAGGCAGCAGCCAAGTGTGGTGGTGCACACCTTTAGTCCTAGCACTTGGGAGAGGAAGGTAGGTGGATTTCTGAGTTCGAGGCCAGCATTGTCTACAAAGTGAGTTCCAGGACAGCCAGGACTACACAGAGAAACCCTGTTTCAAAAAAGAAAGAAACAAAGCAAAAATAAACAAAAATGAAGATAAAAGGAAGGTAGCAGAGCCAGAAGAGGTTCAGAAAGTACCCTCTGACGACCAGGCTGCAGACTCCAGTGCAGTCCTTTCTACAACTTGAAGGCAAAGTAAAGTCACATGGTCCAAATGCCACTTTCTCAAGATTGACAAGGAAATGAGGTATGCCACACACCATTCTGGAAGCTAAAGAGAAGGAAATGACTAAGACACCTACATTGGCAGTCCAGCGTGGGTATTAACTAACAGAGGATGGCCACACACTCTCTGTGGTTTGATACCTGTACCCTAGTGCCAAGGAGCTTTGGAGGAGGATGCATATGTGACAGTCTTTACATACAGGGCAGTGAGACTGCACTCCTAGAAGAAAGTGCTAGGTTTGCCTCTCACTGCCAGTGAGGGTGCAGTCTACAGCAGTGGTCTTTAGCCTTGGCTACCTATCCGTTTCACCATGAGTAACTCCATTGATCAGATCAGAACCTCTGGGTGTGTGTGTGTTCTAGACACTCCCCAGAAAGGTCTCATGCTTAAACAAAGCTGAGGACTACTAGCTTAGAGAAGGAACATGACCCTAGGCCTTCATCAGACATAAATGTGTTGAGTAGCTCCCAAGTGCTAGACTCTGGTAATGTGGTAGTGTTACAGTCTAGGCATCTTGATCAGGTTTGTTTTCTCTGCCAGTTTAAGAATTGAAAGAGGGGGCAAATCTGAAGTGTAACAGGTAGCAGTAGAGAAATCTCAAGCACTACAAACAGAATTGGCATTTAAAGGAAGCTCTTATTGTGGGTGAGGAAACACATGTAGCTGAAACACAGAGTAAAAGACCCTCTGCCAAGCAGAGGGGGACTCAGAA